TCAAACATAGTTATGCCATCCAACTTAATATTGATTGTCGTTCAAATCAATATTATATGTTGTTGTCAATTATGATTTGTTTGTTGTAGTTCAACTCAAATTTGCTTTTGTTGTTTAATTAAATATATTGTATATTTTATTTTTGATATTCTATTTTATTTAATTTTTATATTTTTAATTATTTGAACTTTATTTTAGTTATTATGTTCTATTATTTTAATTTTGTTTTGAATTAATTTAACTTATTTTGTAGTTCTTTAATTTGTTCAAGTTATTTTAAATGAATGTTGAAATGAAGTATATAAATATGTTATGTTATCGATATTATTGTATTAAATTTGTAAAAAAATTTAAAATATTTATGTTATTAAATTGCAAACATATGATTATTGCGAAAGGTTTCCCTGAGAAAGGCGAGCAGATCCGCTCCTCCCGTTCAGTCTTGTAAACTACTCAGTTCTCCGGACCCCCGCGCCTTCCTCGACGATTGTAAGCACGCTCTCTGAAAAGCCAGTGAAGCGCGAGGCAATCCCTTGAGGCTCCGGCCCGACACAAGACAATTCAGGATCGATGATGGTGTCGACAGATTGAAGAACCTTAGCTCTGCGAGCTATAGAAACCTGAAATGCAGAGGACAATAGTGAATTCGACGATCAAATCAAATCCACCCTTCCACTGCAAATCAAGTGAAAGGGCGAAGATAGGCACGGGGGCGCTGCCCTCAACTAAAGCCCTTACTCAACAGCGAGCGAGGAAGTCACGAGGATCTTCTCCTCGACAGAGGTCTCAGTCGACACATCGACAAGATCACGAGAAAAATCCTCTTCGACTAGAGAATTCATCAGAAAATACATGGACATTCATCACAAAATTCATGTACTTCACGAGGAAAATCCTCCTCGACGTGAGGATTCATCAGAAAATACACGAATATTCATCATAAAGTTCATGAACTTCACGAGGAAGTGCTTCCTCGACATGAAGCTTAATCAGAAATTCATGAGCTTCGTGAGGAAGAGCCTTCTCGACACAGAGCTTCATCAGAAAACTCATAAGCTCCACCAATGCAAGTTCTATTCACCGTCTGAACGGTGGCGCCATGGTGGTTTTCTACTTAAAACCAGACTATTCTAGCATAAACTCTCCTATCGTCGGTGTTTGGAAATGGCCAAACCACCACCAAACACCAACACCCGCCGGAACCCAACATAGAGAAAAGGCTTGCATTCTAAAAACAACCTACATTCTAAAACAAGCATGAATTGCTCTGAAGATTAGATAGAGAGACTTGCTTGATTTAAAGAATGATTGAAGGTTGGTGACGATGGTAGAGAAAACACTCTGAAGCTCGAAGGAAAGTAGAGGGAAGAGTGAATACGGAAATGCGCAAATGGCCATACACTTCTCCCTATTTATAAGCTAAATCCGTGGCATAGGTAAACGTGTCGCCGCCTTGCTCATGCGTACCCCTACTCATAGGTCATAATTATGCATTAAATGACTATGACGCTCGACTCGAGGAGACAAAACATTGTCTCTTCAAGTCATGTCAACCTCCCAAACTCCAAGATGTCGAACACCCTTTGTTGGACACAGACGATGAACTTTCCCATTCATATTCGAGCATGGACCCGACAAAAAATTGAAGCAAATTTCCGGGAAGCTTGACAACTCGCGAGCGTAGCCAAATGCTCAACACGAGCACATGTTAAGCTCCCGACCATAGTCTCTGCACGACGCATCTTCCTCGAAGGCGGAATTTAACGAGTTCCGAGCAAAGCATCGGCCAGGGGCGCGAACTCGCGAAAAACATCCCCGGCGGCGTGAGCTCACAATCGCGAACCCCAAATGAAAGTCCTCCTCGCGCAGAGTCCCTTGCTCCTCCTCAACACACTTACTAACTCTAAGTCATTGATCTCATGCTTGAGGGCAACGAATTGGAGAGCTCCTGTTTTGGACTGGGCTTGTGGGTGATCCAGCGTCGAGTACAACCCAATCCAGTTCACGTCGAGGACAACCCAGACTGCTGGCCCAACCTGTTAAGGCCAGTGGATAACACGTTCCCCACGCGCCCCTCATCTGAGGACACGTCAACAAATGACCCGCACGCCTCGTGGAACCATTATGCCCTTCTTAACGGGCAAGTTCATCCACTAACTGGGGAATGTGGAATGGTTGGCCTAGGACGATGAACACGAGCTGTTCATCCCTAATCTCACGTGTAAGTCTTGGTAGTCTCCCGTAGTGGGCCTGGACACTCAGCCCACAAGGGAGACCATTGGCCATGTGCTGGGGGCTCACTATAAAAACCCTCATCTGCAGGAGGGTCAGGTATTCTATTATTTACCCTTTCTTGCTCACCTCTTCACCCGAATTGATTTAAGCATTAGAGTGTTTGCAGGTACGCCCCATCTCCGTCGACCGTCAAGACCGCGGACGTGTTGCTTGCCAAAGATTCTGATCGACATGTTATATATATATATATATATATATATATATATATATATATATATATATATATATATATATATATATATATATATATATATATATATATATATATATATATATATATATAATTGAGAAACAAATGTGAGTTGTGTTGAGAAACAAGTATTAGTTCTAAGTCTCACATTGCTTACGAAAGTGAAGGTTGACCACTTTATAAGTAAGAGAACCCATACACCTATCACCTTAAAATTTTGGATGTGGTGTCTCTCTCACTTGTTTGGATGAGTATTTGACCTTTAGGTGAGTGTTTGGCCCAATGTGAATGCTTCCCCCTCATGGTGACCTATTAGTGGTATCAGAATATGGTTCAAGTAAGGGACTGACTCCTTGTATCGAAAGTCTTCCTGACATGGTGGTCAAGCGGGGTGTTCCGTTGAAGTGCCCATGACGTGATAAATGAGTCTCTCAACGGCGGTGCAAGCATGTGGATGAAAGAACTTCTGCTTGAAGGGAAACATAGTGGGTAGACTCACACTTTAGGGGGAGATTGTTGAGAAACAAGTTTGAGTTTTAAGTCCTACATTGCTTAGAAAAGTTGAGGTTATAAGTTAAAGGACCCATACACCTATCTTAAATTTTTTGGGTGAATATGTGATGTCTTTGTCACTTATTTGTGTGAGTCTTTGACCTTTAGGTGATTGTTTGACCCAATGTGAATGTTTTCCCATGATAAACCATATATATATATATATATATATATATATATATATATATATATATATATATATATATATATATATATATATATATATATATATATATATATAAATTTTATAAAATATAAAAATTGAATTAAAAATTTATATCATAAAAGCTATCTATATAATTTTTTATATATAAATTTAAAGATTTTTACTAACGGATACCCACTTATTATTTTTTAGGAGGAATATTTTAATAGATTTTAATTAAAAAAATGTTAAATCTATACAATATATAAAGGAAATATTTTGTTTTGGTGTGATTTATTTTTCTATCATTTTTACTCTTATTTTATTATATAATTTACTTAATAACTTCTTATTATTAACTTTTATATATTGTATTTTTAAAAAAATATCGTTTATATTTTCATTAATGTGCATTAAAAAAGCAGACAGACAGACACGCCCGTTTGAACACTAGTATATCATAAAGTGAATGTTAATAAAACTTTCATTTTAAAGTAAGTGGACATGATTTTTTTTTTTACACAATAAGTGAATGAGTTAACACCTCTTTATATATATTTGCTAAAATACACTCATTCATTTAATAAAAAAAGTGTATTAACAAATAATAACTAAATATTTGTTAATTACATCTCAAAGTTATGCTGATAAAACCATTTTTATGTTAGTGATAACATTAAAAAAAATGCTATTAAAATCAAAATATTATTTTAAGTTTTATAACTAATGCAATTATTAATTTTTAAGATTATTTATATTTTTAAAAAAACTTATTTTTTATTCGTTTAAAATATATTTTTTCCTACAATAAACAAAATTTTAATAGATAATACGAAATATCTTTTTGGATAATTTAGGCAATACATAAATTTTAAAACAAAAAATACTAGTTTCCTAATTCCCAAAAACTCATTTTTGCAACGGTCAGAAAAACAAGAAACTGTTCAATTCAGTAGGTCATAAATGTAATTTAGATTTTTAAATAGGGATACGATTGTAAAAGAATGCAAGTTACCGTTGAAATCTTATTTCATCCATTTCGTAAGCTTAAAAGGTGTTGTCTCTGCTAAAATCACTACAAAAACTATACTGAATTACAACGTAAAGAAAGCGAGAGTTTTCAGAACTATTAGCAATCCAAGAAACTTCGGTCTCAGAAACTTGTGAGTTTTCGTTAATCTTCTGAATATATGTATTTTTTTCAATTCCAGTGTTTTTTCATTGATGATTTGTAGAATAATCTTGATTGCATGAATGTTTTGTTCTTCTATTGTTCTCTCCATGAAAAGAAATCCATAGGTAAAACAATCGATTGTGTTGGGTTACTGAATTTGGTGATTTTAGTCAAGTTTGATTGAAGGAATTCGAATCCCTAGGCTTTTGTTGGGGTTTAGGTTTGGGAATTGATGGTAATTTGAAACCCTAGATTTCTAAACTATAGGTTTTTTTGGGGTTTAAAGTTTGGGAATTGAAGTTAAATTGTTGAAACCCTAGGTTTCTTTTTGGGATTTTGTGATGTTGTGCTTCATTTCAGTGGTGTAGAATTGAAATCTTGTTTTTTTTTTTTTTTTTTTTCGGTTGAAAATTTGAATCTTGTGTTTCTTTTTTATTTTTGGATCTAGTGTTTTCATGCTTATTTTTGGTGTGAAATGTTGTTTAGTATTTACTTCTGAAAGTTTTGTTTTATTCAATTTAATTAGATAAGATGAAGGAAATAGTGAAAAATTGACAACTGGTGTTATTATGATGATATGATGGTTTAACCCTTTTACCATATTTGCAGGGTGTTCATTTGAGATTTTGCTACTTTAACCCAAAATGGCAGCAAGAACTGTTCGCTTGTTTCATGACCGTGTTAATGGTATTGTTCTGGTTCATTTGTTTTAATACATGTTTTACCACTAAGTTTTTTATGTGTGTATGTAATGGCTAGGCTAATTCCTAATGTTGGTGCAGATGCAGGAACTATGTCGGCAATGACTGATTTTGCCGGACAGAGGAAATCTAAGGTTGGAGGAAGAAAACCACTTGGTGATCTATCCAACTCAGTGAAACCCATTGATCCAGTAGATGGAGGAACTACGTCTTCAAAGACTGATTTTGCAGGACAGAAGAAATCTAAAGTTGGAGGAAGAAAACCACTTGGTGATCTATCCAACTCAGTGAAACCTGTTGATGTAGTAGATGTAAAGAAAGTCCTCAATGGTTCATTTAACACTGTTAAACCCTCTTTAAGTCAGACGACAAATCTGCCGAAGTCCAAGAACAAACCTGCCATTCTGAATAAGGAAGTTGTTTCTGCCAAGGAGAAGAACATTGAAGTCGACAAAAAACCTGGAATCAAAGCTTCTAAGAAATCAAATATTGGTGGCAGGAAAGTACTTTCTGACATTTCAAACTCAGAAAAGGCACACGTTCATAATGTGATAAATAAGAACAGCCTGAATACAAGTTCTTTCACAGGGAAAGATCTTCATCCTGATGAAATTGCTGAAGAGCGAATGTTCCACAATCATCAGAAATGTATAGAATCACGGACTCAAATATTGAATGTGCATCATTTTTTTGAGGATGGTAAATAGTATTTTACAAAATCTAGATTTTCTATTGTGTATTTTGGCTGGTTATTTTGCTTATTTATTGATTTATTTACATATGATTTGAGCAGATTCAGACGATGACATGAAAATTTCCTTTGAACCGCTTGTATTTCGTAACAAGGTTCATTTCTAATTCCTCATGTTTCACCTGTCTGTATTTTTCGATTTGATTTATAACTAATTGTTCTTGCCTTGCCTTTCAGTCTGAGAGCCCATTATTCAAATTGGAGGAGGTGCCTGAAGAGTTTATTCCTGATACGCCGCCTCGATCTGCTTGGCATGGTTCCCCAGTATACTGCAAGAGTCCAGAGTTTTCAAGCTGTACAATGTGGGATGACTTGGCTGTGGATTTCAAGCTGCTGATGGATTCACCCAAGCGGACCCAAATTGTATAAAACCCATGCAAGAATTCATTCAGTTAGATATTTTGTGTCATTCCTGTGATGGCAATTATGGTGTCTTGGAGATGACCTTAATGTTTGTTTGTAGAATAATCTTAGATTGATATTGTTGCGAGGTTGGTTTGTTCTGGCCAATTATTGTTGGATTCTTGTATTGATGACCTTAATGTTTCCTTCTTCCCAATTAGGTCAATGAACAGAAAGTGCTTATCTTTTTTTCCATGTTCCTTAATGTTTCCTTCTTCTCAATTAGGTCAACAAACAGCAGTGCTTATCTTTTTTCCATGTTGGTGTTGAGTAACTGCATTTCTCTATATTTTGTAAAATCCGATTTTGCCTAATATGAAGAAGGATGTGTCAATTTTGGCAAATTTTAGGAGTTGAACACCATTAAAATTTCATTTCTTAAGTTTAAGTTGTTATTAAACCCGTTATTGTAATGAATGTTTTACACGAGTGTGTCTATTTTCCCGTGGAAAGGCAGGCAATTACTTTTGTCATCCAAACGTCATAATAATTTAGGCGCACGTCAAGAAAATCGATGACAAACTTTAAAAATCGTGGAGTTCAAGTTCATCTTGCTAAATAAATGTTTAATTTTACATAACATGTACAAACAGAATAGTCAATTTGTTTTGTATCAGGAACTAGAGAACCAGTGTCTTACTTATCAGACAAACAGAATAGTCAATTTGTTTTGTATCAGGAACTAGAGAACCAGTGTCTTACTTATCAGAAGGAAACAAAATAATACATGTGGCCTTTATGGTTCACCAGCTGAAGCTAATGGACTCAAAACATAAGTCATCTGTTGAACAAGATGTACAAATTGATGCTACTTCATGTCTCATTTCCCTTGGGCCACTAACAAGAACTCCAATGCTCGATCCATTACAGTTAGAAAGTATTTCTGCAGAAAATGAAAATATATTTTGTTTAAGGTTTTACATGAAACATAAAATATAGTATTTGTGAACAATTAATAATCAAAACAAAATAATCAAATTATCTTACTCTTCATGTCAGGCCTTTCACCATAATGAACTTTAGCTGGTTGGATAAAGGATTGGAGGGGAAGGCTCTCTAATTCTCTGTCAGTTTTGTTGTATATCGAGCCTGGTGAAGTTGTTGGAGTTGATGTGTTTTTAATCTGCCTCAAAGCCTTGTTCTGTTTTTTATTCCAGAGAAAAGCAAATGTAGCTACAATAACTATAGATACACATATGAATAACATGCTAAGAATGGACCTTAAGAAATAAGGGTATATCAGGTCAGAATTATGGTCAATTGGATATATGTAGTATCTAGTTAGGATGGCAATGATTAGAAGGAACAATATGAAAGAAGTTGTGATGATAATTCCGAGATAGAGCCAACTGTTTTGTCCAAAGACTGCAGAGATCGGTTCGTCTAATGCATTTGACTTGAACCATAATGTTTGAAGAAGCTTTCTATCATTCGTCGGTGGCTGTTTCTCTCTTGTTACATAGGCTTCAATCTGTAGCTGCAAGCGGGATGCGTCAAGGGCGGTTCCTGAGATGGGAAGGAGGAGGTCTATCATGGTAAGATCAATGGACTTCTTGAAGGAACATATAAGAAGAACTTTAGGAGTTTTTCCGCCTTCGATGTTGGCCTTAAAGAGTAGCGAACGGATTATCGAGATGAAAGGAGTAATGCCACTTCCTCCACTCACCATCACCAGAATTTCATGCCTGCATGATTTTTTCTTATCAGTATATGCGTTATGTATTCAATTGATATGCAATCCGTTCACACACAAAAAAATTAATGAAAACATATATAGAAGAAAGTTTCTTTTCACAAGTCTCTACTCTCTAGTACCTTAAGAAAGAAGTTGAAGCTGGTCCATACGGTCCTTCAATGGAGACGTCAAGATGGGAAGGTGGAGACGAAGTTGATAGTTTCTGGTACAAAGTGTGAGACCAGTTTCCTGAACTTTTGATGACAATGCTTAAGGTATCAGAATCAGTATTACTACATGAGGTGATTGAAAAAGGGTGCCATTGCAACTTGGAAATACTTGGAATGTTAATGAAAATTATACTTGTAGGACTATAGCACAACCCTGTCATTGTGAAATGAGAAAAAATGACTGTTAATTAAATGCAGTCAAATATAATACCGGTCCCACCAGATATACTCGATTCATATATTGACAATCTTCCTTCACCTGGGTTCTTGGAGAAATTCAGCTCAACAGCTTCACAAGGCAAAACACGAGCAGAAACCAGCCGAATTTTCTGCTGGGACTGTAAGAATCTTAGATATCGGTCAATCAAGAAAAGGTAAAATCCTGGAAGCATTATGCAAGAATAGGAAAATCCCACATGCAGCACAAAGAAGACTACAAAAACAATGTACAAGTGATGAATATAAAAGAAAAGCTCAAAAAATTTCCGCCTTATAAAAGGTAAGGTTGTAGCCCACATGGTTAATCCCGCGAGCACTGCTACTACTCCAGCCACATTTGAGATGCCAACTTTGTTCCATGTGAATATCTGCAATGAAAGTTTGTGGATTGTGAATTTGCGATGTCAATTTCTTTTTTATTCTTTCAAATTTATTATTATCGTGACTTATCTGTGTCAATGTCGTGTTAATACATCATAGACTAGTAGGCCAAAGAACATTATCGCAACTTACCTGTGACATTTGATGTGTCTTGTCCCAAAAAGTAACATAACATAGTCCATGAGCTGTGAAGAGGGTCATTGTAATATGTCCTAGCCAAATATGATACTTGATACTTGCTTCTGAAGTTAGGCCAAAGAACCTCAAAACTGAAGACCCTCTTGAGACCGGAAAGAACAGAAAAGCTAAGCAAATATTCCCAACAAGACCTAACGCGAGTGCTGAGTTTTCCAACTTGGCTTCCCATCTGTGTAATGCATTAGAAAGGGTATGCTTGAGGTTTTGCATTTCACTTTCACGGTTCTCATATTAAAAAACTTGTGCATGTTTAGATTGATAGCAAGTTTGACAGAATCACGACGTGCCAGTGTAATTTTGGCAAAAGGCTACACTTTAAAGCTTTAATGAAATAAGTGTTACATTAATTTCGTCAAATTCATTGTGACTTTTTACTGATGTTATGAAAAATCATGTTGAAAAGCATGAGAAGTTATGTTCTTACTCTCGCTCTCGCTCGTTAGCTGCTTGTAAGGCCGCGTTTTCAAACATGCCATGTAAGTAAGAACACAAGGACCAAATTAACAGTAAAACAAACATGATCATGAAAGAGAATTCTGTCTTTGAGATAATGCCAAGAGGACCATTTACAAGCAACGGTTTTCTCCACGACGCCTTTCTCAAAACCCCCGCCTTGCTATGATTAGAACCTTTTTGGATCAAATGGTGGTATAGAGTGGCCAAAGTCGCCATTAATAGAATCGGAAACGTGTAAACGAGTACTGTTGTTCCTGTGCAAGAAGAGAACATGCATATAGATGTGAATCATGAAGTTTTTAATGAAAAGTCTCTCTAAATACATTTTGATATTTAGTGACAATTACAAACCTTGTTTGCCAAAATATATTGGATCTGTCTTTGCTTGAATATCAGGTAACCAATGCAGAAAAAAGGTGTTTGTAGGCATCATAAGCCAAACCATGATATACCCAAGATTGATTAAAACTATGAACCACCATATCCCAATTTGAAAAATCTTTAGTGTTGAAGAAAAAGTTTTACTTCCTTCTAAGTTCATGATGTTCACTTCCTCTCTTTTGCTATCATGCATATGTAAAAATGTTGTATATATACACACACCATAAGTCTATAACATTGAACAATGATTCGTGATATAAACAAAAAGATAGTACAAGGGTGTAATGATACATGTGAATGTATGAAGATACTGGTTTTTACTTTAACTTGAAACTTGATTCCTGTTTTTGGAAGACAAATTGGTGATATCACATTTCATATTGGTTGGCCTTAGTGTTGTTTCCAATTCAATTGTCCATTGTCACGTATTTCTAAGTACCCACTTGTGTCGTTTTATGCACTAAACATTTAAGATACAAAACTTGTTCTCATAGAATAGAAATCTATCTTGTCTTTAATTTGTTTTGACATTAAACTTAAGTTAAACTTAGTACGAAATATATGCTTACACAATATTAATTACGTTTTTTAAAATGTAAATTTCCATTAGCTTTTTGAACTATTAAATTTATTGCTTAAACACTTCTCCGTTTGAGGGTATGTGTATCGATTTGTTTAAGGGTGTGTGTTTATTGGTTTGGGCAAATCCAAACCAAACCGAAATTTAACTAAACCATGGTGTTTAGATCAGATATTTTTTAGTTCGGGCAAAAACCGAACCAAACCAGTGAAATTCAATGTTAATTGATTCGGATAACAGATTAAAAAAATTCTACCCGCTAGTCCGTTTATGCAAACCAACCGTATTAATTCATTTAATTTATATCATTATCATAGAAACTATAAGATATTCAACTTTAAAAAAAAAAGAAAAATGAAACTTCGTTTGTGACATTCATAACCTTTATAAAATACGAAAAAAGTTAAAAATTTTATATTACTATAGAGAATTAGTTGATGTAAATTAGAAATTTTTTTTGCACATTTGTTTCTAATGTATCCGATCAATCAAACTCAAACTAATATGTTATTTTATGGTTTGGTTCGGTTTGATTTTATTGAAAATTTTTAAAAATTCAATCCAAACCAATCCATATACTTTTTATCGGTTTGGACATCGAATTCTCTAAAAACGGAACCAAACTGGCCCGCGAATAATCTTAGATTTGTTCATACATGGTTAATATTGTTATTTATGTGTTAATGGCATGTAATAAACTAACGAAGATAACAATAAAGGTCATGCAAGTGTGTCACATGGTCAAGTCTCAAACATGAAAGAGACAAGTATTTAAGGGAATTAACTACTTAACATAAGCTCGATGGACAAAGCAAACCAAAACGACAACAAATAAGCAAGTTAGTGGTCAAAGAAATCCATCATATTTTTATATATTTTATAGATTGAGACTTTGTTTGTGTTTGTCCAACACATGCAAGGTTACAAACATTGTACTTTTTCATATATATATTTGTTGCTTATCGCGGGGTTTGATAAAACTAACTTGGACCGCACCTAATTTCTTTCAAGAGTAATTGATTTTCTCAACCACTGATTCATAATAATGGGTGTGAGACACACATCTAGTTCTAGAGATGATGACACCCTAAAAAGAATGCAAGCAACCATAGACGAGCTGCATCATCAAAATAAAACCCTTCAAAATAGTGTTCTAAACACCGAGCAACAACAACTTGACGAGGATACACAACAAGGACCAAAGGTGGATCCCTAACCCCTCATTAACGAAAATATGACATCCAACGGTCCCAGATCACTTCAACACGCCTTCATTGGTAGCATTTGATGGAAAAAGTGATCCTTTGGAACACATTACTGCCATTAACACATAAATAACAATAGTCGGCGTCACAAATTCATCTGCGACCCTGTGCTGGTACACAAACATTTTCAGGTTCTTCGTGACCTGTTATCAAGATTTGTCTAGAAAATTAATCAACCAATTCTCAACATGCAAGCATAAAAAAACATCTACCACCAGTTTGTTTAATGTACACTAGGGGAACTTAGAATCGTAATGAAAATACATGGAGAGGTTTAATGAGGCCACCGTTAAGGTAGTTAACCACAATCAAGAAATTTTTATAGATATTTTTTCATAATGGACTTAAGGTCAGCCACTTCAATGAGTCTCTTGCATAGTAACCAACCAATTCAATGTAAAAGATCATGATAAGGGCAAAATATTACTTGAAAAGAGAAGAAAGTAATGTTGAAAAGAGGGCCAATGAGACAAAGAGAAACAATGGGGCATCCGAGTCCTCCATTAACTGAATGAACCACCTCATGTAGGCAATTTGAGAGAAAGGAACCTCCTAGTTCAATAAAAGGAAAGTGCATAATAGTATACATGTGAAATATTACAAACATTTGAACACTATGCAAAAAAAAAATATAGATGCCATTAAATAAAATATGTTTAAGAATTGTCATACAATTCTAAAGGGAGTTTGCATCGTCCTAGGCGGGAACTTCCCAAGAATCCTCAATGAAGTTGCATATCTCTAATACATTTAAGAGGAGAATCTCAATACAGTTTTCTTGCTTGTCTTATCACTTTCGTCTCGTTTATTATTGTTTATTGAGTCTCCTTCATGATTGCACATCTTTGAATCAAGTTTTAAATATATTCATTTTTAAGCACGTGTAATTCAATTGTTATATTTGAGTTTGATCATGATGCTTTTAGTCAATTAGTTGAGTTAGTTGAACAAGAACCATATGTGTTATTGACTCAAGTTAGTATGAAAGTGAAATCTCAAACTATTTTGAAAAACTTAAAAATTGAGATTTATAGTGTGTGACTCTAGTCACTCACAATCCATGACTCGAATCAAATCAAACGAAGGAGAACATGAAGTTTTTTTTGGTGTCTGTGATTCGAATCACAATTTACATTGATTTGAATAATGCAACACTGTGACTCAAAACACAATTTTCACTAACTCGAATCATGCAACCTCCTGTTAGCCAATGCCTAGTTTGACTCAAGTCACACTTTGAACTAACTCGAATCACAATGATGCCCATGTTTTTCCTGTTTGGCTATGTCAAGTTTGATTCGAATCATAAGTTGAATTGACTCGAATCATGAACTTTCATGACTCAAATCAAGGTTACAACTGTTAAGTGCAAATTTTACCTATTTTTGTATATAAGTTTTGTTGCACTTAACGTTACTTTATGTTAAAATCGTTCGAATAAACCCCGCTTTGTTTATAAATGCGTTTACTTTACGTTATAGTGTATATATTATGTTTTCCTGTAAATATCATTGAGTTTAATTGAATTTCATTCATTTTTGTAGGTAATAAAGCATTGATTTTGGAGCATTGTTAGATAGAGCATTGAATAAGCTTTCCAACGCTTCGAACCGGGCGAAAAACGGAGTTACGGTTAAAAAGTTATGGTCGAAACAAGTTGGTTTGCTGTCATGTTCGCCAAAGTTCGCCAGGCGAACAAAAGTTCGCCAGGCGAACCGAAAGTTCAAAAACGCGTGAAAAACACTGTTTTTACAGAAGCAAAAGTTGTAAATGTTCGCCAGGCGAACGGGACTTCGCCAGGCGAATACTGGGACTTTTTTTTGTCTATTTAAGTGACTTTTCAGCATTTTTTAGGGCATGATGTTTGGGAACTTTTTACCCCAACTTCATCAAACACATTCTTGAGTAGATTTATCTTAGAAACAACATTGGAGGGTGCATCTTAACGATCCGGAGTCGAATCCACTTCAATCGGAGTTGACAGACCGTGAGATTTGTGTTCTTTTTCCTTCCTCTCTATGTATTTTTCATTTGTTGGGGTTTTGTATGTAAGTTTATCTTGATTGTATGTATATTTATGGATCTTTGTATAAAATCTCTTTTACAACTCTTTATCGATGGTTATCTTGATTTTTTACTTAATGGGTTTGGATTGTGATAGACATATACTGTTCGAACTCGATCTTAGATGAACATCTATTAGATTCTAAATGCTAGAGATAGATTTAGGACTAATATTCACGTGGGTATCGATTCTTAATGCTCCGTGCTGTCGATTTGTGTGAGAGATCAACAATGAGATGATACGGTTGATCTCTCGACTTTGTGTTAGAGATAAACTTTGTTGTGAGCGATACGTGATGATATTGACGAGTGAATTAGGTTGCGTGCATTTGATCCATATATTTTTTAGTACATGATGGGTATAACGAAATACAACTCCTGACGAGTTTTCTCATTTCTTAAGAATGTACTTATTTTCTTGTTTTATGTTTTTTCTTTTGAATTTTTATCCCAAACCATTCAAACTCAAGCTTAGAGACGTAGAGATTATTGAACGACATTCTTTCCCTCACACTGATCCATGTGGAGACGATAAATCCCGGAGGAAATTCTTCCGAAAATAATATTTTTGCTTGCTGCTTTACCGCTTCAACAAAATGGCGTCGTTGCCGGGGATTGGTTTTGATATTGAGTTGCATTGCGATAGTTTCTATATTTCTAAGCTTTGCACATAATTGTATATATATATATATGCTTGTATAGATATTTGGTTTGCTTTTGTCTTCTATTATGTTTGTTCAAGTGTTGTATATATTTTATTCTCGTAACATTTGTTCAAGTGGTTGGTTAGGACACTTACTTTTGGTTTGCGCGGTGAGACATCACATGGCATGAAGGAAGGAAGTTACTAGCTAAGCACAATAAAGGCGTCGAGCTTACGACGTAAAACAAGCATGTTTTTTCCATTTTTGTTTCGTTATTACTTTTTCCTTCTAGCTTAGGTAGTGTGGTGAACATTCATTAAACAAGTTGTTCTCGGATTATTCGTAAAATTCTCAAATCTTCACTTTACAACTTGTTTAATCCATTTTCACCCGGTATTTTATTGTTGTTTGGACTCAAATTTTTGTTTGGTAGCTTGAGGTATTTGAGGTGATTTTCCAAGTTTGAGTGTTTCAACTTGCGAATGCGTGGTAATGATAGTGTTTAAAGTTTTGTACACGTTCAAGGTATGTGTTTATCACTTTCTAGGCTTTAGCATATTCATCATACTTAGACTTTTTACAATTTCCATGCCATTCATTCTTTTGT